TTTTTATAATTATTTTCATAAAAATTTTGGATATTTTTTCAAATATTTTCAATAATTAGTTTTTATGCGTTTAACATTTTTAATTAATAATTATTAATACTTTTTATTAAATCTTTTTTTTATCGTATTATTATATCTTTTTTGCAGACGAACCAGGAAAGCCGGGTACGCCCGAGGTGGTTGACTACGACAGGGACTTTGTCGAGCTTCAGTGGAAGCGTCCTGAGGAAGACGGCGGATCACCAATCACTGGCTACATCATAGAAAAACGTGACAAGTACAGTCCAACTTGGGAGAAGTGCGCGGAGGTCGATGGTGACACGAATCGCGGCAAGGTCAACGACCTGGTCGAGGGAACGCAATACGAATTCCGCGTGAGGGCCGTCAACAAGGCTGGTCCCGGCGAACCGTCGGAAGCGTCCAAGTCCCATCTGGCGCGACCTAAGAACCGTGAGCATTAGCAAATAATTTAATTTGAAGAAGTTTAAAGAATTATAAACATGATTTTTTTTAAATGGCGAATTTTATATTTTGTCTTTAGTTCCACCGAAGATCGACAGGAAATACATGCTGGATGTGAAGGTGCGCGCCGGCGGTTTCTTCGACTTCGACGTGCCGGTGATCGGCGAGCCGCCGCCAAGTAAAGAATGGTCGCTCAAGGGCGTCACAGTGATGGCGAGCGATCGCATCAAGATCACCAACGAAGACTATAATACCAAGATACGTATAATAGAAGCAAAACGTTCCGATTCAGGCGTCTATACACTGGAGGCCAGAAATGTGAACGGCAAGGATTCCGCCACGTTGACGGTGAACGTGCTGGACGTACCCTCGCCACCTGAGGGTCCGCTGAAGATCGACAACGTTACCCGAAGTGGCTGCGCCCTGAGGTGGCGGCCGCCCAAGGACGATGGCGGCTCCGAGATTCAGTACTACCAGGTCGAGAAGATGGATACGGAGAACATGCGCTGGGTGCCTGTGGCCGAGGCTACTAACACCTCAGCGCAGGTAGGCCACCTGATCGAAGGTCACGATTATCAGTTTCGCGTGCGGGCGGTCAATAAACAGGGTGAGTCCCAGCCGTTGACCGGAATGGATACCATCACCGCTAAAGATCCATTTGCCAAACCGGACAAGCCTGGAACACCGGTTGCCACCGATTGGGATAAGGATCACGTGGATCTCGAATGGGCGCCGCCTAAGAAGGATGGTGGATCGCCTATAACCGGCTACATCATCGAGAAACGACCCCGTTACGGACAGTGGGAGAAGGCGGTCGAAGTGCCCGGAAATAAGACCAGCGCCAGAGTACCGGATCTGACCGAGGGTCAGGAGTACGAGTTCAGGGTCATTGCCGTTAACAAGGGTGGACCTGGCGAGCCGTCCGACGCGTCAGGACCGATTGTCGCCAAACCGCGTTTCAGTAAGTTTGAATTTTAATCGAGAAATTAATACAATCGACAATACTAAATCAATTATCTTAAAAAGAATTTTTAATTTGTAAAGAATTTTTATTCTATAAATATATTTTACACAAAAATATTTTTCTTATCGTAGATAGCAAAAAATATAAATTTTTCTTACACAAAATTCTTTTCTTGAAAAAATAATAGCTTTTTTCAAATTTCTAAAATAATATATTTTTTCTCTGTTACATATTAGTATTTTACATAATTTGTAATTTATTACAGTCGCTCCTTCGTTCGACATTCATTTGCTGAACGATTTGGTGGTGCGCGCCGGTCAGAAGATCAGATACAACATTCCCATCGTTGCGTCTCCTAAACCAAAGGCAACTTGGAATCGCGATGGAGTTGAGATCGTGGCCGATGCTCGTCACGAAATGTACACTACCAACACTGAAACTTCCTTTGAAATTCCGTTCTCCGTTCGTGGCGATACCGGACGTTACACCTTGACTTTGGAGAATGAGCATGGCAATTTTAGGTAATTGATAATATTATAAAAGGAAGTTTTAATATCAATTTTTTAAAATATGTGATTATGTACTCTCAAAATTTAGATAAAATTTTTATCAAATTAATCCACGTACAGGAATTTTTATTAGAGTCGTTTTTCTAAATAAAGAAAAAAAATATATATATATATACATAATAAAAGAATTTAAAGAAACTTAGTAATTAAAATTCTGATAACACAATTCAATTTTGTTATAAATTGTAATAATTATTTGTTATATTATATTATATTTTATATTAATAATAATTTAATCATATTTTTTAAATCATTAATTAATCGAGAAACCAATTGAATGATGACGTTAAATTTTCAGTGCCAGCGCGAGAGTCACTGTCCTCGACAGACCGGCCCCACCGGAGAAACCGCTGGATATCAGCAACGTTACCAAAGAAGGTTGCCACTTGGCCTGGGGACATCCTCTCGACGACGGCGGTAGTCCTATTCTGCACTACGTCATCGAAAAGATGGATCTATCTCGTGGAACTTGGTCCGACGCCGGCATGAGTATGGTGCTGAGTCACGAGGTCAATCGTTTGACCCATCGTAAGGAATACCTGTTCCGCGTCAAGGCTGTTAACAACATCGGTGAATCCGATCCGCTCGAAACCACGAAGAGCATTATCGCGAAGAACGAGTTTGGTAAGCTTTATAAACATGTTTAAATAAAAGCAAAAAATAAAATTAAAAGATCTCAGAATTTAATCGATATAGATTTAAACGTAAATTTAAAATATATTAACAAAAATAAAGTAATGAGATGTAATTTTTATTATTTTGATAAACGTTTAAATAATACATCTGTTTTCGACTTTCAGATGAACCAGACGCGCCTGGCAAACCACAGATCACAGACTGGGACAAGGACCATGTAGATCTGGAATGGCCAGCGCCGAAGAGCGACGGCGGATCGCCGATTAAGGGCTATATCGTCCAAAAGAAGGAGAAGGGCAGCCCTTACTGGGTGAATGCGGTGCACGTGCCAGCGGGTCAAAACAGCACGACCGTTCCGGACCTGACGGAAGGTCAAGAGTACGAGTTCCGTGTGATCGCTGTCAACGCCGCCGGTCAATCCGAACCGTCGGAACCAAGCGATCTTGTCACTGCCAAACCACGTTACTGTAAGTTTTATTCTTATAGAAAAATGAATTAAAAGTAAAAAAGATTCCAATTCTTTAATAAAGTTTTATAAAAAACTTTATTAATTACTTTATTATATCATTATAGTGTATATTATATTATATATTATATATTATTTTATATAAACAAATATGTATTTTGGAAATTATGTAAGACTTTAAATATTTTTTGATTTATATTTTGTTTGTTTTGGAAAAATACTCAACTTTCTTTATCTTCTGTAGTGGCCCCGAAGATCAAAACCCCCTTGCAAGATGTTCGTATCAAAGCTGGACTGATTTTCCACGTCGACATCGATTTTGTCGGCGAACCGACACCGGAGGTGACGTGGAGCGTAGGAAGCAACGAATTGACTTCCAACGACAGAACGACGATTACATCGATCGGCTATCACACGATTGTGCACATTGTCAACGCCAAGAGATCCGACTCGGGATTGTATCACTTGTTGCTGAAGAACAGCAGCGGCATAGATGAGGGCAGCTTCCAAATGACCGTCTTGGACAAACCTGGACCACCAGAGGGTCCTTTGCAATACGAAGAAATCACCAGTCAGTCCGTCACGCTCTCGTGGAAGCCACCCAAGGATAATGGTGGCAGCGAGCTTACGTAAGTAAATTCTCAAGACACATCACATTTATGAAATAAATTTCCGATTGTTTTTTGCGCGTGTAAATCTAATTTATGTATTTTTATTCTTCCATAAAAGTTCTTTCTCTTTATATATTTTTAAATTGGCTGATACATTCTTTGTTATTTTATATTATAAAAAATTACACAAGTAACATATAAGTTATCTTATATAATTATTTT